CTCCGCGAGATGGGGGGAGGGGGCTGTGGCGCAGTTTCGAATCCGCAGCGGGGGAGGGGCGCACTAGAACGAAGCTGCGGCCGCTCCTGGACTGCGCATGCGCGCGGTGGGGGGAGCTTTTCCTGTCCTCATCTCGGTTTTAGGGCTGACTCAGTGCTTTGCTGCTGCATTTATGACTCATCACTGCTGCGGGGAGGGAGGCGGCCCTCCTGCCTGCGCAGGCTCTGTCCTGTGAGGAGCAGTGCTGCCCCCGCTGCTGCGGGAGGGTGGGTCTCTTCAAGACACAAAAGCAGTAGGCTCGAAAGGAGGGCGCAGTTCAGAGGCACCATCTTTTTGGACACGTGTTTGGGTCACATGCAGCTGCCTTCTTCCCCCCCCCCCCTTTTTTTTTTTTTTTTTTTTTTTTTTTTTTTTTTTGCTGGCAAAAGGCTCTCTTGTAGTTATGCAGTAAATCCAATTTTAATATTATTGGATCTCAAGCAGTGGAGACCCAGTAGTGTAAAAAGATAGTGTTTTGGTAATAACATAAAGTACTTGGGAAGATGTGGCTTTTGTTGTTTGTTTGTTTGTTTTTATTAGACTTTCTTCTGGTTGGTGTACTCTAATCATGTCCTGAATAAAAAATTTAAGAAAACATTGGGTAGTGCAGCATTAGTTACCAAGGTGCATTGATATACCTTGGGGGATTACTCTCAATTCTACTTTAGAGTGCGTAAATTGGATTAGATGTGCACTTTGCTACCCATTTGGTGAATTCCAAAGCATTCTTGTGTACTTTTTTTTAACCCTTTTGGTACCCAGCTAGTTAACCAACTGCGGTAACAGTAAATCCAGCTCTAATACCTGCACTTGTCTTCAAAATGGCCATATAGTAACAAGTCCACTTTATATAGTAGCAATAAAATTCTGTTTAAGTAATTGGAATATAAATCATCATAAATATAAATAGCATACAATATAAATCATCGTTTTTTCATGTTTATGCTTCAGTTACCTTAATTATTAGTTGCCTGTAGCTGTTCTAATAGTAGGGCTCCTCCCAAGAATGCAGGAAAGGGTTGGGCAGAGTACTCTTAATTCCTTTGTTCCTCAGAAGTAAGTTTAGCAGTGGAAAACTACTTAAAGAACTGCTAATGGCTAAATGAGGTTGAAGAGAGCTGCTGTAAAAACATGAAGTGCCACAAGAATTTTTGGGGGAGGAACTAAAGTAGACAGTTGGTCTTAAAGGTGCACAAATCTCTTCCATGATTGCAAAACAACATAAATATCTGAATTTGAATCTTAATAAAATTAATCAAATAACTGTAGAATAGAACCCTGCACTGAACAAGCTTTCTATTTAATACTGGCAGTCTAAATTGTTCCTTTTATTTAATACTTTCAGAGCTGTTGCGCAGCCATTGGTACCTGTATTGGGGAAACATAGCATACAAGCAAGAACCTTACAGCCTCAGTGGCGAAAATTTTTTCATGTCAGAGACCGAGAACTCTTGCAGTCGTTTATGTCATCCCGTCTTCTCCAGACAGAAGATACCAAAAAACTGCAATCAAAGATCTCTTCATCTTATTGATAAAGCAACTAATAAGACAAAATGTCTGTCAACGTCAACCGCAGTGTTTCAGATCAGTTCTATCGCTACAAAATGCCCCGTCTGATTGCCAAGGTAACTTTTTTTTTTTTTTTTTTAATTTGTAATCTCAATAACTAGCTCTCGGATTAAGTTAAATTTTCATCCCTATTTAAATGTTTAAGGAATGTGAGTTGCAGAGGTGACAAGACTAGTTCAGGGTCCCTTGGTGGGTCAGAGGTATTGCTTCTCGGCCTCTTGAAGGCTCAGATCACAAGGCTTAGATTCTATACTCGTATTGTGGTTAGTGCTACAGTGTGCTACATTACCAAATGTAATCTGAGGAATGCTTTAAAAGCTTGTTGGGCAATGGCCATTACACATTTAACTAACTAAATCTCTGACTACTATTCCTTCTAGGTTGAGGGCAAAGGAAATGGAATAAAGACAGTTATAGTCAACATGGTTGACGTTGCAAAGGCGCTTAATCGGCCTCCAACATGTAAGTATCTTTAGATTAATTTTGAAATCCTTGTATTTTGTTTCTCTTTTTGTAAAGTACCTGAAATCATACTGTGTGTGTGTTTTTTTTTTTTTCTTTCTTTTTTTTTTTTTTAAAAAAAAAAAAAGGCACTAAGTCGTAAATGTCAATAGCAAATGCCAGATCATGAATCAAACCATGAATGGGAAACTTGTCAGCATAAAATGACTAACCTCACGTGATGACTGTGGCTTCTTTCTTTGCATCTCAAAATGGCCAAACAGAAGAATCCATTAATCATAGGTTAAAGGTCTATTACAGTTAAAGTTTGTTTGGTTTGTTTTGTTTTTAAAGACATTAAGTTCAAGACAAGTATTTGGTAATTTTGCATAACATGCAACGGCTCCTTACTTTATTATCAAAACTAGTACTGGCTCACTCTTTCTGTTTGGCGCCACATTCAGACACTGTTGGCATGGAAGGCAGGAATTGACTGTGAATCTCCAACTTCTTAGTCCCTTATGATTTATTCTCTCTCCTTCTTTGAAAGATCCTACCAAATTTTTTGGTTGTGAGCTGGGAGCACAGACCCAGTTTGATGTTAAGAATGACCGTTACATTGTCAATGGATCTCATGAGGCGAATAAGCTGCAAGACATGTTGGATGGATTCATTAAAAAATTTGTTCTCTGTCCTGAGTGTGAGAATCCTGAAACTGATCTGGTGAGTACTTTTAAATATTGGTTGTAGAAACAAGACCTACCTGGTCTGAAAAACTGACATTGCCTTGCATGCTCATTAAGCTCAAGTAGTTAATCTTGCACAGGGTAATGTATATGACGTATGACACAACCTCAGGAGTATGAGATCTGACTTCAAATACCATGCAGAGTAAACAATGTGAATTCAGGGTTGTAGGCATAGCTATGTTTCAAAATTTGTGCACAAGGGATGAATTAGGAGGGCAAAATGTTACTTAAGCCTAGGGAGGTTGGTGGTTTAATGTGCAAAATATAGTTCATACAGAGCTTTAATGTCAAACTTTCATTTTGGCAGCATGTCAATACTAAGAAACAAACTATAGGCAACTCTTGCAAAGCCTGTGGCTATCGAGGCATGCTTGACACAAACCATAAACTCTGCACGTTCATTCTCAAAAACCCACCTGGTAAGTATATTTTTAGCCACTTTCATTAGAATTAAGCAATCCAGGTGTTAAGACATTGGTTGGTTGGTTGGTTCGTTTGTTTTTAACTTGTCAGTGCCTGACTGCATGGTGTAGAGGAGTTTGTTTCCCATTAGGAACGTTAGGGTTCATGGTAAAATCAACAAGATAATAACAGTGGCAATCAATACCATGAGTAAAAACCATTTCTCTTACCTAAAATGCTAATCCATGGGTGAAGACAGCCGAGAGCCTTCTAAGCAATTGCCTTGTCTCCAGACTACTAAAAAGTGCCAAACAGAAGGGGAGTAACTATTAGAAGGGACAGACTAAAGTCACTAAGTGGCTTGTTCATTTGTTCTGCAAGCAACACTCTGTGGTAGACATCCATGTTGCCTGCTGCAATTTTAAGCTTGCTATAACAAAGAAGTCTAACCTATTCCAGTGGTCTCTGCTTTGTGAGATCATCTTGTTATATAGGCTTGGACAACCTGTTTTACTTGCAGACTGGTATCACCAGTTGCTTCCTAAATCTAGGGCTGGGTTTCTTGCCAGGCTCTCGTGACAACACAAACTTTCACCTAGTGGTCATGTTACAGATTGTCTGACAACAGTACTAGGTGACAGCAACAGAACTAAGGAAATTCTTTCATAGCAATGTCAGTATTACTGTAGTACTAAACACCCTATAGGTAGCTAAATTGGCTTTAAGGGACAATTGGACAATCGCAGAGATGTCCGCTATTCCTTATCGTAAAAACTACTTCATTTTGTATCGAAACAAACTTTTTCATGTGGTTCCTGGGATCTGAGAAACCCATGTGTGATTTCAAACGCTCCCTTCTCCACTTGCCTGTCGAAGGATAAAGACCTGAAGAAACTGCTTGTCCAGGGTGTAATAAGTTTGCCATGATTGATCTATTTCGATAGTGTTTTTAAATGATACCTCATGTAACTACTAATCTGCTTCTCTAACCTTGGAACTTTAAACTCACTTTCTTGAAGAGAGAGCTGTATAATGCCAATTGTCATTTCACAGAATAGAATCAAAGAATTGGGGGAGACCTCAAAGGTCACTTTGTCTAACACCTTACTTGAATGCCCAGATGCTGTTCCTAAAGCACCCCAATCCAGTGCTTATTGGTCTTCCAATGTAGTCACTTCCACAATTTGCTTGGATAGTCAATTCCACGTACAGAGAATTTTTAAATACGGAAGACTCCGTAGCTGGAAAGTAAAACTAGAGGCTAGAAATGAGTCCCTTTAATGGGTGACCTAGCTAATGACCCAAGTATGAAAGTAAATGCATCAAAAAGTACTTGAATATAAAGATACTGGTATCCTGTATGCAGCTGATCTAGTCAAACAGCCTAGATGGCATGACAGTCCTTTGTCATCCATTTCCTACAAGATCTCAAAATGGACCTTGGATCTGGTGAGGTGGATCAAGTTGCCTCTTAAGACTTCTACATTAAACCTGACTTTTCTAGGGTTCCAAATAAGAAAAACATCTGGCTGTACTCTAACTTCTGGATGTAAAAGGGATGTTTAGCTCACTTCTGAACACCGCAAGCAGAGTTCAGTCCTAATGTTAAGATGCTCTCCCTACCCATGATGGGAAGGGCAGTAGTATGATGAAAGGGAGCCTTGGAATACTGAGTCAAACTCAACTCTAGAATCTGGTGTGCTTGAATTAGAGCTGGTCTCTTTTTGTGCAGTAAGTAAAGGAAACTAAAGTATTGCATCTCTACTTTAAGAGAGCAGTGATGCTGGCACAGGAAAGAAGGAAAAAGAGAAGAAAAATCGTAAAGGCAAAGATAAAGAGAATGGTTCTGTGTCTAGCAATGAGACGCCACCTCCACCCCCACCACCAGAGGAGATTACTCCTCCACAGTTAGCGGTAAGTAGGCATTCCAAGTTCTAAAGGTTGTGATTAATGAAGCTGGAGTCTGACTTGAGCCAAAATTAGTTTTGGCTCATGTTTACCTTTAGTAGTTGGCCTAAAGTGCTGGCAATTCAGTTTGTCCCAAATCTTTAACTGCAAAGGACCTGTACTAAACCCTGGTAGAGACCTCTGTAAAAGGTCTTGCATAACAACAGTTCCTGTCACCACTTGTGGTGATGCTTCCCTCAAGAATTTTGCTGTGGCAGGCCCATCTGCAATTCTGTGGTGTCCAGCCTACTATATTAGTTTGTGTAGTCTAGAGTTGCAAGTGTACCACAAACAGTTGTCCCTGGTCCTGACTGGCTGTACCTGGGTCTCTAGGCTCCCATTCCTTTCCTCGGCTTTTTGATTCTTGCCCAAGGGGTGGGGTGGCATAGTCTACAGAGTAACAATGCCAGCAAGCCTAGGTGGGGGCTGCCTACCACTTAAAAACTAGGCAGCTCCTGTGTAGCAAGTGGGTTGCATACTGTGAAGTAACAAAAAAAATGACACCAGCTGGAAACAGTTGCATTTATACTTTGTGGATGTTTTGGTAACCTGTGTGAGGAGAAATAATTGGCTCTTTCTGGAGATATCTTAGAAATAAAACTAAAGGTAAGTTCAAGAAAGTTGGCAAAAGATTATGCCTCCAGGGTAGCATTTTTCACTTGCTCCTAAAAGGGATCATTGTTGTTGCATGAACTCTCATCAGGAAGATGATGATGATGACTGGGGTGAGGACACAACTGAAGAAGCCCAGAGGCGCAGAATGGATGAAATTAGTGATCATGCAAAAAACCTCACGCTTAGTGATGATCTGGAAAGAACAGTGGAAGAGCGAGTCAACATACTATTTGACTTTGTTAAGGTAAAACTCATCATTCAAACTATTCCTGATTTTGTAGTACTAGTAATCTAAAACTACTCTGAAGAACAGAGTAGGTCAAGTGGAGTAAGGTATTCTAACTGTACTGCTTGGAATAAATTCACTACCTCTTCTGACTAAAGAGCAAAGAAATTGCTTAATAGTAGCATGGTAGGTCATGGGTCACTTAGTATGGCAGCATCTTCCTTCCCCCCCACCTCCCCTGCTGAAGAGTAGATGTGTGTATAGAAGTATCTTGCTAACATTTAAAATATAACTGCTGCTTTTCCCTATACAGAAAAAGAAGGAAGAAGGTGTCATTGATGCTTCTGACAAAGACATTATAGCAGAAGCGGAGAGACTGGATGTAAAGGCTATGGGCCCTCTAGTTTTGACTGAAGTCCTCTTCAACGAGAAGATACGGGAACAAATAAAGAAATACAGGCGTCATTTCCTACGTGTAAGTTACCTTACAGGGATAATAAATTCTTAAACTAGAATCTCGGCTATGATGGAACAGAAATGCTTCTTGGACAGTTTGGGCATTTCTGTCCATAGAACTCTGACTAGCTTTCAGAATATTCGCTTGCAACAAGTAGTATCTTGTGATGGGTAGTAACATCTTGTTCTCTGGCAGGTGTAGATTAAGGCACCTTGTATTGACCTCAAACTAGATAATTTTATTAGTAACTTTATTCTTGCAAAGAAGCTGACATAGTTGCCAATGTCCTTCAATTGCAGTTCTGCCACAACAACAAGAAAGCTCAGAGATACCTTCTCCATGGCTTTGAGTGTGTAGTAGCCATGCATCAAGCTCAGCTTATTTCAAAAATTCCCCATATCCTGAAAGAAATGTATGATGCAGATCTTCTGGAAGAAGAGGTCATTCTTGGCTGGGCAGAAAAGGTAAGGCTATAGTCTAGCAATACTGCTATACAAAATTCTCATGTTGAATGGAATAGTTTGAATATTTGTAATGGTTGCCCATTAGCCAGTTTCAGGAAGAAGATAAGATTTATCTCCTTATCTAGCTCATTGTTTTGGACTACGTGCAAAAGGTCCTGACTTTGTTTAAAGTCTTAACTTCTGAATTTTATCTTTAGAAGTCTTTTACAAAGAGAGCAAATATCCTGAGTTCCGAGAGATCAAACCCTAGAGCCTTTTGACCAGATTGGTAAGAAAAGGTCATTTGTAGTGGTATGGAAGTTCCCCAAAGTAAAATGATTAACAAAAGAAACTAATTACTAAGCAAAAGAATCTGTTGAGTAAGATCCGAGCCCAAATTTGGGGGTAGTGACCGGTTTGAGTAGGAGTGGCCCAAGACGGCAGCTCACTCAATAAAAACTGTAACTTACTGTCCCAATTTGGAAGTGACTTCACTTGCAGAACAACGAAGGAAGAATCGCAAGTGTAGGCCGGATCAGATTGATCACCTGAACCACCCTTTCCGTGAACACGAATTTCTTAGTTCACGCTGAAGCCGCAGAGCGCCTGAAAGGGACTGAAAGAAGGGGACTTAGTCCTATCAGTATTGAGGCCAGCCTATTGAATTGTATTGTTGAGGCGAGCCCATTGAACCGTACTACTGAGGCCAACCCATTAAATTGTACTACTGAGGAATGAAACCATATTTTGGTATTTGGCTTCTCGGAATTCTAGGATTGTAAGTATATTATGAAAAATAACAGTATTGAATCCAATTTAACTTTTAGTTGTAATTGTAGTTGTTTTTGTAATACTAATTCTTATAGCATTGTTTGGGAAGGAAGTGCATTTGGAGCATTGTTTCTGATATATGTAGTTATTGTGTTCTTAATGTTTGTGGTGTTTCTTAAAGCTAAGCAGTGTTATATGTAGCAAAGAGTTTTAAAATAAAATTGTGTTGTATGAATTAAGTGTGTAATCATTGTGAAATCGTGCAATCAGCTAACAACTCCCCCAGCCAGTGCATCAAAACGAATCAGTAAATTGTGTGGGATTTTCTCTATTCCATAACCCACTAGAGACAAAAACCTTCCTTGTAGCCATTTTAGCTACAATCTTTGCAATTCTCAAACTGCATCCTTCTCCAGAAAAGGAAATGATCAAAGGCAGTGTCCTCACTGAGACTGATTTTGACTACACTTAAGTTCTCTGGAAACTGTTCTAGAATTCTGCTAAGCTGGAGTTGGAGTGCAAAGGGAGGATGGAGTGGCAGTTAGTGCCTGATCTAAACTTAAGCAAGTCCAAGTATGCAGAGTTTCTGTCTTCTGCCTAAGAAAAGGCTATGAGCTGTGCTGGGAAGGAATAATGACTCTTATTCTCCTCTTGACCGGTAGGCTTCTAAGAAATATGTCTCTAAAGAGCTTGCCAAAGAGATACGTGTCAAAGCAGAGCCTTTTATCAAATGGCTGAAGGAAGCTGAGGAAGAGTCATCTGGTGGTGAAGAGGAGGAGGAAGACGAGAACATTGAGGTATGAATTCTTTCCCATCCTGTCTATACACATATTGCAGTTAGTGAATGTACCTTTTTTTGATTTCTCTACAGGCTCCTATGCCTGTACAAAAATTGGACTGGCCTCTTACGTTTAGTTCTGTTAGTTTGGGGCAAACTACAACAAAGGGAACTAAAAGTACTCGATTCCCAAATCCTCATAGTTGCACAGTGGTGTGACACTCTCTCTTCCTTGCGTACCCATGTTCCTTGGGGAGAGGTGGAGGGTGACAATAATACTAAGCTGCTGCATGGAAGCCTTGTAACTCTTAACTGACTGTTTATGGAAACACAGCAATAAATAGCCCTAATGCTGAGTATTTTGTCTCAACAGGTAGTATACTCTCCAACTGCCAGTGTTCCTAAAGTTGAAACTGTGAAGCCTGCAAATAAGGACGAAGATATTGATATTGATGCCATTTAGTGATGCAGCCCAGCTTCTAGTAAATGATGCAAATGTCTCTGCATTTTCTGCCAGAAGTGCAACATGTATGTGCACAAGCTGAAATGGCTTAACATCATGCTACTCTTTGTACTCAAGTGTGTATCTTTTTACTGTGACTGGTCCTGTGTAACTAAGCCTAATACCAAGGAGTCCACACACAGCAGTGAACTGATGCTAGTTTGCAAATGGCATGGGTTTTTTTCTTTTTTTTTTTTTTTTTTTTTTCTTTTTTTTTAACTTGTGTTTGGACACGTACTTGGAGCACATTTATAGAGTTGTGGAAATAAAGGATTTGGTTTTGGTCAGTCTTCACTTCATGGCTGTGACCTGTTCATTCCATCTTGAAGTAAGGCCTGCACAACTTTAAAGTGCTTCTGCTTGCAGACTGAAGTGGAGGTTGTACAGCCTCAAGTTCCTGAAATAATGAAAGTCTTGAAAAGAAGCGATGTGTATGCAGTAGTCAGCAGGTTTCTTCACATAACTGACAGATGAGGTTGAGAGAGAAAACAGCCCCCTCAGGCAAAAACTGTATTTGGCTAATGTTCTTCAGGTGCAGAGAGACGTCAATTTTTAAACTCTCTCTAAAATGGCGCAACCACCTCCTCCTCTTCCCCCCCCCCCCCCCCCCCCCCCCCC